TGACAAAAAAGCTGAGTTCTTAGAGGAAAAGGCAAAACTTGCTCTCCAACCTGCTTCAGAAGTACAGTGAGCATGTGGATAATGGGGGACACACACACCAACACACCAATGAACATAGTCACTCTTACGAGAGATCATGAGCATGGAGACAGTAACCAACTAAATGATGAAAAGAAAGAGGAAGGTGAAAGCCACAGGAATGGCATGTTACTGTAAGAGCTTGCTACAGCAGTGGGGCAGGGGGAAGACAGCAATTAAATCTGTTTCAGAAGAAAAGTACAGCATGACATTTTACAGATCTAGAAATACACTTGTGTGCAGTGAATTGTTTCCCTCTGTGTACCTCTGAGGACTACAGTAATTAAGGCAAACACCTCCTTCAGAGCCCCACCAAGTAATAAAATTATTTATTGAGCCCTCACAGCACTGTGGTGCTGATTGCTGGATCCCTCTCCAGCTGCTTCAGTAGGTCCCACTCTACTTGCCAGCTTCCTGACTTTCAAACACCTCATCTGCGGCCCTTGGATTGCTTTACTGTGCAGTGCTGATTGCCTCCTCTCAGTCCCAGGGGGTTTCCAGTTTCAGTTTGGTTTAAGATTATACTACCAGTTTTCCTGCCTCATGCTTGTTATCAGAGCTTGTTATTGCTCTCCGAGCAGCTGTTTGTAGTCCTTCCTTCCCAAGTGGTTAATATTCCCTTGATTCTCTTTCAGACAACTCATGGTAAAATGCAAATAAGAGTTGAACAGAAGTTCTGCTGCAATACCCGAGTTTGCACTGTACCTAAGTTTGTGCGTGCATGTGTTATCAGCAGCAAACTCAGGTTAATCAGATGTCAGAGCAAGCTGATGCTGCCAATCAAAAGAGAATCTCAGATTAACTATCTCCAGAGAACTATCTGACAACTGGAGCCTACTAGTATTTGGCAGTTACAGCCACCCTGTGGCTTCCCACTTCAGGAACACCTTGCCAGGAATCAGGAGGAATGACTACAGCATGTGGAGGCAAATAAGAGGAAACCTTAAGATAGCTGTACCAAGAACCATACCTTGAGGAAGTGGCAACATTGCAGTCTGCTTGTCCCTGGGGTAGACCTGAAGGCTAAAATGCTGTTTTTCCCATTTTGATTCCCGTGGAGCTAATCAGTTCGCAAAAGATGTGCCCCTGGACACACAGACTTTTACATGTGAAAATATCACCCTAATTTATGAAGCAGGGAGCAAGGTGTAGACTCTTCACCACAGCTGTTTACAGAAAGAACATTACCTGATTGAACAAGTACTCGAAATTGCATTCTTAGCCATTCATAGAATCATAGAATGTTTTAGGTTGGAAGGGACCCCTGGAGGTCATCTGCAGTGAGCAGGGTCACTGCTAACTAGATCAGGTTGCTCGTCCAACCTGGCCTTGTACATGTTGCATCCTCAGTCTTTCAGCCCATCACAAAGAACGCTCGCCTTCCAGCTCAGAGTGGATGAATTTTCTGTTCCAAAGGCCTTTTCACAGATTGGTCAAAAGAAGGTGTTCATTTCACAGAAGCCAGTTTGCTGCAATAAGGGAGTGTGAAACCAAGCACATTTTCTCAGCAGTGCTGCTGAACTCTGTGAAGCTCCCAGCTGAGCAGCCTTATGCCATCAGAAATCACGACACCACCTTTTGTCTAGCTATCAAACAAGCCAGTTTCTCTGAATTACACCATATACATTATTACAGTCAGTTGTGAGTGTCCTTCACTCTTGAAACTGGAAAGAGGCCAAACTACTACTAGTGAGAAGCAGCTTACCCTTAACAAACAGCTCAGCGACAGGTTGTTTGGACATGCCACAAGCAAGACAGGATTGTCCCATGGCAGAGGTGAAATAACTGAATGTTGGTTACACAGGTGGTATCCAGACTGCCTATCTGACATATTTGGACATCAGGAACCTGAAGGTGAACAGCTTCTGCTCTCTCTATACCTCCAGGTTTTTCTAGCTTATCTCAAGGTTAATGTATTAACAAGCATTCAATAACTGGCACAGGGAACTTTCCAGTAATTTTTCCTTTTTCTAAATCAAATGGCAACTATACTGGAGAAGAACTGGTAAAAAATGGTTTTTAAAACAAAAGTTTTCATAAGGTGACAGATGCTGCAAAATCTGGGGTGAGCTGTTGAGCATTTGAAAGCAAACCACTTTCCACCAGCCAGAGTCTTGGTGTGTTCAGTAGACTGACCCTCAGGCCTTCTTAACCCTACATGACAACCCCTTCTCTGGAAATCATTGCACCACACTAAGCTATTTCTCCATTTCCATTTTCTCTCTGTTTACGGTAATTCTTACTTTGTGTTAAAATTTACTGCCAATTAGATAATTTAGGATACATTTACTCAGGAAAACAAAAAAAAATATGATAGATCCTGAAGAAAGAAGTGTTTCTGAAACCTCTAACCCTGACTGTATTTCAGGCCGAAATGAACTACAGTTCCCTTTTACTCTTCAGCTCATGCTAGGCTGGATAACAGAGAAGAGTAGAAGTAGGAAGACCATGAAAGAGACAAGAACCAGAAACAGTATTGGTCACCAAAGAACAGTAGAACAAATTATTCTTATAGCTCAACTATTGTAAACCATTTTTCTCTTTCTCTGACATTTGCTCAATGCCTAAGCTGAGGATAGAAGCATCAGAGAACACTGAATCAGGAAACTCTCCACCTGGCAGCATTTAGTAAAATTCTGCTTGTGCAGGGCAATATTTGCGAAACAATAGATGGGATTGTTCTTTTTCCAAGTAGTAGTCAAATATAAAGACAAGATACCCCTTGGGATCAGCATCACTCTTCTAGTTCTATACCTACCCAGGAAATTAAAAGGAGCAGAGACAGCACTCTTTCAAACAGCCTTAAGCAGTGCTTTCTGTTGTTTTAGATTTCAATGCCAGGAAGAAAATTTTCCCTAAATATTCCTCTTTTCCTTTATTATCTACAAAAAAAAGCCAGAGATGCCTCTACATTTTTATATTTAAATAAGACCTCAAGTCTATTTTTGTGTACATCATTTCCATGTGAATCTCAAATCCGTATTTAGCGTCAACCTTGCAGCTGGACTCTAGCAGCCTATGGTAAAACAAGTGCCCTCCCCCTTTGCAGGATACCTCCCCCACTGCAGTATATTACAAAGCCTTTACCAAAGCATTTACAGTATGCTGTCTGTTAGCAACACAGAGTCCTCCTAAAGAATTGTTCTGCAAAAAACTTTTATCTCCTGAAAGGCCTAAGTAGAAAACAGCACACCTGGAACAAGGAGATGCATGACAGCAGCTAGAAAGCTCTGTTTGAGTCTTGCACACCTGGGTCCAAATGCAAGAAAGAGGAAAGGCTGGGAAGGCAGCAAAGATAAGGCGCAACTGCATGCCTACAAGTTCAGTACAGCCTCCATGGTAGAGCTAGAACTGTGTCAAGGGCAGTGTAGAGGGTTTACTTGGTACTATGGCAATCTGACACACTCGGGCCTTAGGGCAGCCTTAGAGTAGGTATCATTGCAACACTCCAAGATCCTCCACCTAGTCCCCAAAATGTTTACTATTTGCAAGTCACAAAGCATTTCGGAGACGAAACCGTGGCATATAGTACAGATCACTGTGCATTCTATAGATATATCTATCTTGCAAAGACAGCTTTGTCAAGGACACAGGCATCTGCTGGCTAATAGGAGTCAAACCTTTTATATACACGGATAACTGCATATCTCTGCAAAAACGTGCTAATCTAACTACATTATGTCTTGCAAGAGCGAAGATCACCTTAGCGCGACAGTGCCAACTGTCTTGTCATTAGCTCCATTATCACAATGACTTAAAAAGAGCTACTCTTGTTGCTATGCACATACATAAGAACCCCATGCAAGAACTTCTTTTTTTTTAAGAGATAACACTTAGATACATAAATCCTTAGTTCTAAACTGTTACCTACAGCATTAATGTTCTCAGTGAAGTGATTTTATTTTTTTTTTAAATTTTTGATAATGAAATCCCTGGGTTTCGTTTCACAATAGGTTGATACTGATGGGGCTGTGAATCCTGATGAGAGAGTGAGCTACCATTTTATTTTTTTGGCAAAGAACCCAAGCAGGAAAAAGTATACCATGAGTCAATTCTTCAGACAGTAGTTATAATGAAAGCAGTACAGGCTGCACTCTTCACAATCCATTCTTTCTTACAGTATCAAGGTTGTAAAAGCTTATTCCTCTTCCAATACTGTAGGCACCGTCCATCATCAAACCCATCAACACTACAAACTCATAACTCAAGACTAGCAGCTTTTAAGGTACGATTTATAAAAATCACTCTTTTGAAGGAAGCTAACAGGTAAGGCCTGCAGAAACTAAGCACTGTATTCTTTTTCAGAGATGAGGCTGAAGAGTTGCCTAATAAATACAATTAAGAATTTTACCAGTCACAGACATCTGTATTTCATCATGCCATGCACCACTCAGTGCAAAAGTCTCTCTCTAGCAAGTAGTTTCTGAACAGCAGTAGAAAGAAAAGTTGCTGAACAAGCCCACAATCACACGGGCAGTTCTACCCTTAGGGAATGTTCGTGAATCGAATTAACATTTTAATGCAACCTGAGTCAAATACAGCTGTGCTGCTACAAATGTATGAAGGCCATATTCAGAAGCAACAAGTCAGTAACTGTTATTTTTAATTACATGTTATCAGTGAGTAACTTCCTTTCAAACGTTCTTGGTGTTACAATGAAATCAGGAGTCAGCTATTTTGCCTAACTTGATAGCTTTAATTTCATTGCTTGAGAAAGAAAAAAAGAAAAAGGTTAAGAAATACAGCTGCAAGGAGAGCAACACTTCACAGCTACTAGCTGCCCATCTGTAATATAATTCTGATGTGTTAGCAGAATAAGACAAGGACTTATCTATTTTGTGGGAAGGGAGTCAGCACGACACAATATATTTATTTGTTCTCCCGGGTGCCACAGCAAATGACGTTTAAAAATTCTTTCTTACCTAATCCAGTTTGCTTCAGGACTTGCTGTGTTCTCAGCTGCTGCAACAACAAACATAAAAAGCAAAAGCTTGACAGCCTTCAAGACACTTGAGATCTTTGGCATTTCTCCAGCTGTTTCAAAGTAACAGGCTACACAAGCTAACAGTTGTTGACATACATGAACCTGACTTCATGCATTATAGTTCTATTGCAAAGCTGACTAACAACGAAAGAGAATAAGGTGAAAAATGAAAGATTGCATTCCTTACCTGACATAGCTCCTGTTGGCCATATGCTGGACTTAGCCAAAGGCACTGTCTCGCTGAGCAATAAACCTAGAATAGGTAAAGGCTGAATTATTAACAAGAACACGAGGAGGTCTCAAAAGCACATGATGAATGAAATAGAAATTCAAAACTTACAGTCTGATTTAGTTTGTACAGGAAACTTAAGAGAGTTTTCTGAACTCTTCCTTAACTGATATATTTCAAACACTAAATGGCATACGGAAAGAAGCAGAATGATGCTTTATTGCAATGCAGGGGAATGATGAACACAATCCCTTAAACTACCTTCATACCAGACTGTTACAACATAGAATTTGACTATAAAGGAAATATCTGGCTTTTCTCACATGGCAGTTGTATACATTCCCATTCCACTGGTCACCTCTCTTTTCAGTCAGTAACTGCTAATGTGCTTCCAACACTGTGTTTTGGCCTCCAGCTTTTCGTACCTAAGACCATAGATGTGCTCTTCAAGCAACTTATAATTGCACTGATACAGTCTCTAAGTTCATAGAGTATTTCAGGTTTAAAATTGGGTCATCCAATTAACGGATTTCTGGGCAAAGGCTGGAACTTCTTTTACATAACTTTGTGTCTTTTGATACTGCTGATAGCAATTAGAAAGTACCAACCAACATAAGAAACCTTGCCAGGATGAAAGGAAAAATTGACATCAATTTCTCCTCTCAAGAGAGAGTTTTCTAGTTCCTCTGTATTCTGTTCTGCAGAATTCTTATTATTACTTGCAATGCCATGCAGCACACACTAATGATTAGGACAGCATTCAGAAAATGACATTATCTATTCAGACACTTCACACTGCTCCACCTAAATGCTAGCTTCCTAATTCTAGGGGTGGGAGACACAGGACTCATGGTAAGTATTCAAAAGTGAATATTCGCATGGAATTTGGACATTTAAACTGACACAAACAATGAGAAAATAGGACCAGCATGTGAAGCTGAGAGGGGGGTATCACTCAGGAAAAGGACATACCTGAAACTCTCTTTGCCTGCATGGTGCCTCTGTGAAACTGGGACTGAGAGCCTTAACTTGTTTACTCTACTTAAGTACCTTCCCCCAGTTGGAATTCACCTTTCTTTTTTACACCTTGCTCTGAACTCCCTCCAAGTTTGAATCTCAGGCAGGCAAAAGTCAAGCGGTTAGCTCTCGCATTTAGACACAAAGGAAGGTGGACAATTAGCTTCCATCTTCTGTGAATAAAACCCAGCTAGATACAAGGCAGAATGTATATATTTATTGACAGAGGTGCTATCTGCTTTACAGAGTCAGCCTTGCTATTGAAGACATAATTTTCAGTCATTGCACACAATATGGGAATAATAATTCAATGCAGATTAAATACAAACAGATCTTTTTTTCACCAAAATCCCCAGCTTAATATATTGTTGAAAAATTCATCTATGAACATTGACACCCCTGGAAATTACATCCCTTTCAAGTGTTTCAGGTTGCTTACCACAGAAATCTCTGGGGTGCAAGCATTGCTCTGTGAATTCAAGGAGTAAATGATTCCCTGTTGTTTCTACTGCCACAACTGTGTGTAAGGTGAAAAAGGTCCATCCAAAGCCAAAAAATGTAGTGTCCATGCAGAATGTTAGACAAACAGCTGCCTGAATAGAGTGATGACAACAATTCTGCCATTATCTCAGGTGGGCCGAATGCATTCAGCAGTGTACTGAATCCACCTCTCTCCACAGTCAATATGCTACCATCAGCACAGGAAGAGGGAAAAGAAAATTGACTCCAGCTACTGTAATCATCATTAGCCATAATGCCATCAGGATAAGCAGGAAAACAAAGATCCATTTTCCACAGCCTTACACTTTGTCCTGATATTCTGACCAAGAAAGTAGCGGCTACAGGAGCAGAGGAACAGTGAAAGATGCAAAAGGACATGTGCTAGCTGTAACTCTTCCCTTACTCCGAGCTATTTGTATCTCATACATGCTCTACTACTAAAAGCTACTCCTTTTATTAATTCATATCATGCTAAGTCAGGAGATGTTCAATTTCCTAAATGTTTACCTATTTGATAAGAAAAATTGTAAAATGAACTCAGTCCAGTGTTTTCAAATGTGTTGTTCTGCAAATGTTTCCTTTTTCTACATACAGTATCAGTATTCCCTCTCCACACAGTGGGGTACAGTCAGTGCCTGAGGAAGGAACAACTGGATGAAGGATGGAGAAACAGAGGACCAGCCAGCAAGAGGCTACTGGCATGCCTTGCTCCTTACAACGGAGCAGCAAAGAATGAAAAACCTCCTATTTCCTCCCACCTCCTCACGTGCCATTATCACAGGCCAATTCTCAGCTGTGTTCAGCAGAGCTTCTTGCCTGCTGTGCAGCATTCAGATGGGAAAGCTCAGCTTTACACTGTCAGACGTTTATCCCACAGTAGTGTCATTCTAGCCACAGTCATCCAGCTTTCCAGCTCTGACACAAGGAAAGCATGTATGGCCTTATACATTATTCAGAGAACTTCTCTTCCCCAGAGAGGGGAAAATTCCATGCAGAAATTTTGCATAATTAAACAACAGCAGTTTCTCAAGTTATTTTTCAGGTTTCTGGTGTGGCATGTCAATCCCCAAGGCATTGCTTTGTTAATCCTGCATCAGGTACATTGTGAGGTTTCCTTTTGCTGAAGTACTGCACAAAGCGGTCACATCTCATCACTCCAGACAAACCACCCTTTCCCCACTACTTATGTCCGATTACCAAAACAAGAGCTTTGCAAAGACATGAAAGATGCATGAAAGGCAGGACAAGCTAAGAGGGAACTAGCAGAAGACTGATTTAACACATTAGATGGTTGCTCCTCCATTTCTACCTGCAGAGCAGTCCCCCACTTTCCCCAAATGGCCAAACAGGTGCTTTCCTTAGCTGCACACTGTAACTCCTTGGATGACTAGCACCTTAATTGTACACTCTTCTGTCCTTTAGATTCTCATGCTGCAGCTCCCTTACCTTCTTCCTATCTCCCCTCACTGTTTTAGGAGCTACATGGCTTTATCAAAAAGCACAGTGATAATCCATCACAGCAAATGAGTCATCATATTTGATTCCTCCTGTTAACACTCTGAAGAACATGGCTCCATGTTTTAGTCTGTAATGTAGGAGTCTTTACTAAAAATGCCCACTCTGAACTTGTGTCCTGGATGATTGCCAGATACACTGCAGTTTGCTTACTCTGTTGCAGTACAGCTCAGTTTAATCTCATGGAAAGGAGTTAAACAGTAACAACAACATCAACAAAATAATTCCTACTGAATGAAGTGCTGATTGTTCCTGCAGGTGCAGAGCATTCCCAACTTCCCTGAAACAATCAAGCCAAAGGTGCCTTTCTGTCCTCTGGCTCTAAATTACTGAAGTTCAGCTGTAGAATAGATTGGTAAAATGTTTAGTGCTCACCTGGCCAGTTATGCTCAGGGTTTGTATGAGGCTTTTTTTCCCTTTCTCCTTTTCTGTTGCTGATCCATAAGTTCTCCTCTCATCTCATTTTCTCTTCTCTTGTATTTCCTTGGCTTAGATCACTAGAATTCACCTCTAGGGAAGGGAAGTTTGTAATGAAAGAGAAGCATGATGTATCACACTAAGTGTGTTGAGGTGACAGCTTAAAACTAGGGCTAGGGGGGAAAAAAAAACCAAACCACCAACCAATTTGTTAAGCAGAACAAAACCAAACTAATACTATAATTTCCAGTACTTCAAAACCCCTTCCTGAACACAAATGTTCTTTGATTACCCTCATAGCACTGTACAGTGTATCAGCCCTTTGTTCATTACTCCCTTCTCCTGCACTTCCCTTAGTGGTAGAAAGCTGGTAAAGACAGTAACTTCTGGTTTTGTGACAAAATGTTTCTCTTCCTCAGACAAGCCTGCACTGAGAAGCCCCCATTAGTGAGCCTCTCCAGGCATTAGCACAGCAAGAATCATTGTCTTTGTCCAATGAACTTCTTATTCTGAATGCGTTTGGCAAAAACACTGCAAAATTGGTCCTGGCAGCTCTTGAAGAAACCAAACAGCCACTGCACTGCTCACTAAATCTCTCTTCCCTGTAGTTAGAAAGTCAATAACACAGGTACAGTATTTCTTCTAATCAAGGATTTTGGATGGTACTGGATAAATCACTTACTCTGCCCATACATCAACAGAGCAGCACGTAATTCTGAGGAAGGAAACACACAGTGGCCCTCACTCTCAAATGCACACAAATGTATTGCTGTAGATAGTGTTCCTACGGGTTTTCAAGCGTGGAACACTACAGAGCAGCAAGTACCAGCACAGGAGAGGGCACAAGTTTATCTGTGTTTCCAAACCCACCTGCACTTAAATTGACCTTCTATTTTAAAAGGGTCTGAAATGGCTTTTAGAAATCTGTATCTACCTTGCCTTCTAGCCAGACTACCATATGAAAATCTTAGCTCAGAAGAAAAATAGCTCTGCTTGGTTCAAGCCACATTTTTATTTTTGGAATAAAACTTTAGTGAACTCTTCTATTTTTACTTCATGTGCTACAATGTCAATAATTTAGAGCAATTTGGATAAACACTGGAGGATTAAATGATAGAATGTTAGAAAAATAAATGCATTACAGTTTGAAACTACCATTAAGAACAGAGCTAGACCTCAATTTGGGGGTACAAAAACGGTCTAAAAAAGGGATTCCACATATTTTCAGACCACATTCCACAAGACTCCACAGTAGGTTAAGATACAACCAATTCACTGCTTCTGTCAGAAAAACCTCAGTAATTGCATCTAATTTGCAGACATCGAATCAGTATTATTATTCATCTTCATACTAACAGAAATTTCTGTACAAGAGCAGAGTTTCCCACTTAACAAGTTCAAAACACCTCAAAACAGAACACTGATCCTTGGTTTTCACAGTGCAATGAAACTGGAATTCCAGAGTGGAGATTTTGAAGGGCAGAATGAAGTGAAAAACCCTAGCTTTTAAATATGAAAATTAAAAAAAAAATGTATTTACACAGAACTGAATGCACTGCTTCAGAGAAGTAACTAGAAAGAGATTTTAAGTTAAACTCTTCTTCTTGATTTGTGTGCGGTACTGTCTATGGCTAAGGGTACCTTTTCCTTTCTTTCATTAGTAACTGCATACCTCTATGTACCAGGGAGGGAGAAAAGGGCAAATATATTTGCTTAAAAGAATTTATCAAATATTACAGTATTTGCAATGTATATTACAGTTCACTAGTTACTAGTAGGTCGCTTAAAGAAGTGCTATATACTAGAGCCAGGTCTATTTTGGTATTTAGGAAACTTACAGAGACTTTTCTTCAGGTATTCATGGCTTTGTCCTGATGTGCCTGAATCCTGTATCACGCCTACTTATTTCTTGCCTTGTAGTATCTTCTGCCATTTATAATCAGTTAACCGTGGAGATTTTTTCTGTTTGAGTATTGCGTACCGCTAGATTTTGGAAAAAATAAGTACAGCTGGTCGTCACCTGCAGAGGCAGGGTGCCCGCACAGCCTCAGCAGCAGTACTGGCACGGCGCTGCACACGCGGGCCCCTGGCCCCCCACCTCAGCGTAGCAGGCGCCGCGGCCTGTCAGCGGGGCAGAGGCCGCCTTCCCTCTCCTCCCCTCCCCGCCGCCATCCCCGGGGCCGAGAGCAGACTTCTCTGGG